TGAAGAACACAAGGTTTGAGATTCTTACTTGTTAATTCTGTGTCACACTTAACAGAATCCAGGGAGCTGCTGGAACTGGCGTGAGGACAGTCAGGGCTTTTAGCTGAGAGATGTGGAGGATCTTCATCACCTTCTACTTGGTTCTGAGGCACAGCAAGCTAAAAAATGAATTAACATAGTTATCCTGTTTCATATAACTCATCTAAGTTGATCAGTGTCTTAGTGTAGCTGTTCCTTGCATTCAGATTGGTTTCATTTTGAGTAGCAGCACATCTTATATCTTTATATTTTTCTATATATTTTCTCCTGACGATTACAAACTCATTTTAAGGTCAGAGGAATGTTCTATTTTTAGACAGATGTCCTTGATTCAACTGCAGTTTGTGCTGTCTATGAAAACCTAGTTTAAACTAAACTTCCATGCTTGGATTAAACAATTACTTTAGGCCTTACTGTACCTAAGGAACAACTGGCAAATAGTTTAGTTCAGAGGACTAAGGGTATTTAGCTGAGAAAGGATTAAAAGGAGAGTATGGACAGAATGGCTTCACACCAGCAAAGCCCTAATTCTGCCTGTTTTCCCTGGTTCAGGACCATTACACACATCCTGATTCTTCTAACTTCGTGAACAGTGGAAAATACAGGGAGTGACACAGGAAAATGACAGCAAACTGGTGGTTAAGGAACCAAGGAAACCTCCCAACAGATAGATCCACTTGCAGCCCAGAACTGAACCCAAAGCCCTGTTGGTGTTCCCTGTATCCTTACAGTGAGGGATCAGGCTCACCTGTAAGTCCAGAGAGGCCTCACCATCCACATTTTCATCTCCCTTGACCTTCTTTGGGCTCTGAAGATCCTCCTCATCTATTTCCAAAGCTCTTTTTGCCTTGCAAGTTTGTGTCTCTTCAAATGGAGCCTTTTCCTTGTGAGGGATTGTTTTTTTGCTTATCTCATTTTCCATGAGTTCAGAGCTGACAGATTCATTGGAATCCATTTCTTCCTGGCACACAGGGAGGAATTCTTCTGCTATAAACTGGGAAGGGCTGAACTTCTGCCTGCTGGATTTGGTTTCACCAGTGTTTACTGGAACTGGGGTTTCTGCTTTCTCTGATTTTGTGTTTATGTCCTGCACACTGGAAACAGGATTTCTTCTGTTTGGTAATTTAGGCTGGAAAATACCCAGAGGGATATTTATTCCCGGATATTTATCCTTAAGCACCATGCCTGAATTTGCATCTATGGGAGCAGCTCCAAATTCTAGACCTGTGTTCTCCTTCTCTTTGGTATCCCCTAAATTATTTGCTTCATTGACAGTGCTTTTTCCCAGTCTCAAGGTATCCTCTGGCTGAGCTGAGGACTTGGGCAACTGGTCAGGAAAAGCAGTTTGGGAAAAGGAAAAAGCTGCAGATTTGCTTCTCAGGTCCTTCAGTTTGGAACAAACACTTAAAACACCTGATAATTCTGGGGCAAGAGGGGGATCTGTCTGATCCCTTGGAGTGTCACTGACCAGAACTTGCTTATCTTGTTCAGAGTTTATCTGAAACTCCTTTGGAGGTGTTTCCCCTTCAGCTGACAGCTCCTTGTTTTCCTTTGATTCCTTGTGAGCAGCTGGAATGAGGCTTGCTCCAGCCAAGCCTAAATCTGGAGCTGAATCCTCTTTCACTGCTTGGTTTCTTTGAGTACTATGAAAATCTGAAGAATTCTCCAAAGGATCTGATCCCTGGACAGAAAGGGCAACTTGGGATCCCAAGTCACCACCTTCTTCCCTGCAATCCACAGGAACATTACTTGGAAGCTTGGAAGATACTTCCTTCAACTGCAGGTTTTCTGGCAGTGTGAGACCCTGCTCCCTGCTTACAAAGAAGGAATTAGCCATGGGAATGTCACACTCCTGTGGTGCCTGCACATCCATAGATTTTTCTGCAAGTGAGACAGGATAAACAGACTCTGGTGTGGTGCCACTGGGGACATAGGTAGCTTCTTTCTCATTAGGGAATGCTAAGGTTGATGAAGCAGAAGAGGGAATGCTGGGCTTATCCTTAGGTTTTGTGGGATATTCACAATTCAGGTCTCTGGTATGTGAGGAATCCACTTTACCTCTCCAAGACGACACCACCACACTGTGTGTGTGCTGTGCTGGCTGCTGAGTGCTCGTGTGGGACACCTGTTGCTCCTCAAACCCAAGGAGATTGTTATTCACAGCAACAGTATGGGACGCAGTGGTTTCCATGTCATCCTGGTTGTGGGCAAACACAATGGTTTTGTC